CCTTAGCTGCTCGAGCCACAGGCGCCGAGCCAAGCACTGAGCCTTCAATGTGTCAAAAATCTTTTTGCTGGTATAGAGTGTTGCTTTGATGTTGATGTCCACTGACAGATCAAGGTGGTGGTTGCTAAAGGCTGGAGATGGATGTGGCAGTTAATTAAAGTAAGAATGAAGTTTTTTTTGTTTTTTGTTTTTTTTTTTGAGAGAGTCTTATTATGTTGCCCTCATTAGAGTGCTGTGGCATTACAACTCACAGCAACCTCAAACTCTTGGGCTTAAATGATTCTCTTGCCTCAGCCTCTCAAGTAGCTGGGACTACAGATACCCACTACAATGCCTGGCTATCTTATTTGTGTGTTTAGCAGGCTGGGCTGGGTTGCAACCCACCAGCCCTGGTGCACATGGCCAGCGCCCTAACCACTGAACTATAGGCGTCCAGCCAAAGAAAAGGATTACATTTCTTTAGATGTATTAATCAAAATATAAATTTAGGAAAAAAAGTCATTTTGTATGAGAAAGAATCTTGCATGGTAAATTTTTATCCTCTAGTAAAGTCTATGATTCCAATATAAAAAAAAATTATAGGACTAAGACTGGGGAATTTAAGAAAATTATTAAAAAATCTAAAGTTCACGAGGCTTTATTCAAGAAACTGTCTTCTGGAAAAAATGGTATGTATGATTGGGTTGGTTGGAATGGAAATAAATTGTGTATAATTTTCTTTCTCAACATTCAGTGTTGGTTTTAGAGTTGTATTGGCAGGACCCTAGTTTGGTTCTGTATGAAACAAAGTTTTGTTTTTGTTTTTTGAGATGGAGTCTCAAGCTGTCACCCTGGGTAGAGTGCTGTAGCATCACAGCTCACAGTAGCCTCAAACTCTTGGGCTTAAGTGATTCTTTTGCCTTAGCTTCCCAAGTAGCTGTGACTACAGGCGTCTGCCATAACACCTGTCTATGTTTTTTGTTGCAGTTGTCGTTGTTTTAGCTGGCCCAGGCTGAGTTTGAACCCGTCAGCTTTGGTGTATGTGGCTGGCGCCCTACCCGTTGGGCTACAGGCTCTGTCTGTATGAAACAAAGTTTTATTAATCTACACTTAAGAAAAGTATATGAAGTTTCAATTTTTAGGCTTAGGCTTGGCACCTGTAACTCAGTGGTTAGGGCGCTGGCCACACACTGGGGCTGGTGGATTTGAACCTGGCCAGGCCTGCTGAACAACAATGACAACAACAAAAAATAGCTGGGCATTGTGGTGGGCACCTGTAGTCCCAGCTACTTGGGAGGCTGAGGCAAGAGAATTGTGTAAGCCCAAGAGTTTGAGGTTGCCGTGAGCTGTGATGCCACAGTTCTTGACTGAGGGAGACATAGTGAGACTCTGTCTTTTTTTTTTTTTTTTTTGAGACGGAGCCTCAAGCTGTTCCCCTGGGTAGAGTGCCCTGGCATCACAGCTCACAGCAACCGTCAACTCCTGGGCTCAAGCAAGTCTGCCTCAGTCTCCCAAGTAGCTGGGACCACAGGCGCCCGCCACAATGCCCAGCTATCTTCTGGTTGCAGCTGTCATTGTTGTTTGGCAGGCTGGGGCTGGATTTGAACCCGCCACCTTGGTTGTATGTGGCTGACACCTTAGCCGCCCAAGCCACAGGCACTGAGCCGTGAGACTTTGTCTTAAAAATTTTTTTTTTAGTTTTAATTCTAAAATCTATTTCTTGGGATTGTTACTGGAGACCTGAGGAATGGAGGTAAGAGCCTTGTGGTTGGTTTAGACAACCAGCTCAACCCAGGGGCTTGGAGAAGTGTTACAGGCTTGAAAGGTAGTTTCTTTTGGCAGCTGCACCACAGTGGTATCTGGGGTGCAGGATGAGGTCATGCACATTTCAATTTGCCATTTGAAAATGTGGAGTATGGAGGTGCTGCCCTGGCTCTGGGTGTTTGAGGCCCTACCTCAGCCTGCGCCAAGGCAGGCTTCCCAGATGGAAAATGTTTCAATGGTAGAAACTGGTCCAGGATAGACCAGCTGCTAGGGGGATACTGCTCATGATGGTGACCACTGTTATCCTAAAGAACCATTACATGCAGGATGCTGCTGAACAGACCATGGTGGGGCAGATGAGCCCGTGTGCTGCTGTCTGGAGTTTATTTATGTATAAACCCTTCTGTTATAGACACTCAAATGACTATGGTGCAGGGGCAGCTTCCTGGGAGGATGGGAGGCTAGGGACATGGCCTGTGGCAACTCACAGACCTCCTGGGTTCTGGAAGGATTATAGCCTAAGGACTTTAAGGACTAGAAGCAGTCACTGTGATGACGTTTTCAAAGACCCATTGAAAAGACTTTCTCATTGATGTCCCTCCATTAGGACTGGGAGGCCAACCTGTAGGAGGCAGACTCTGCAGGCAGAATGTGTACATCTGAGGAATTTCCTGGGAGGGCTTTGAAAGCAGAGAAACAGTCTGTTGCTTGGCCTTGAGGTCACCAGAAACCTTTACTCCCCAAACTTGGCATCTTGTTTTTTAGTATCATTAATTTTTATTTTATAGTTAGAAAGTCTTATGTATGTATCTGTTAGACTGACTGCCACCTGTTGGCATTCTTTGAGAGATCAGTAGATTATAGATTAATTATTTGCATGTGCTGTGTGGCAATAAAGATCCCTTATATAAGCATGAAAGAAATAAAGGTTTTTTGCTACTTGCCTGAGGAAGCAGTAGCCACCCTACTCTTCAGAGACATTCTGACTGCTAGTTTATCTCTGCAACTCCGGCCCGAACACTTTACAGCAATAGAGGATCACGGGTGTTCTGCCAAAACTTGGATGATAAGCTGCAGGATGCCCAACCTACGTGGCCTCTGGAGAATGATAACACACCTTGCTTCTCTGATGACTCCAACACTGATACTGCAGCCCTTTCCCCCACCCCCCAGCTCCAGGCCTGGATCATTGACTAACTGTAAGTTTATTCTAGAATAGGAATACTTTGAAGAGATAACCATTTACAATAGGGGAATATTATGCAACCTCGCATTTCTCTATGAAGAGATATCTGTTTAATGTATATCAAGATGAGTAATAACAATGTGGATACTTTTACTGTAATAATAGGAAATTAACAGTGGGTGGGGTTCTGTTGCCAAAGTAACTGGATAATGGTGTTGGTGGTGCCCTCTTCCTGTCTCAGCTTTACCAGTTTCCTTGTACTGACATTCTGAAACTGAATCATAGTGAAAGATTTGTTTTCATTGCAGAATGGTATGATCCAAATGCTTCACTTCAGTGTTATGAACTTTTACTTTACCCAGGGGATGAATCTGTTGAAATGTATGATGTAAAGAATCATTGTACCTTTTTATTTATTTATTTATTTATTTTGAGACAGAGCCTCAAGCTATCACCCTGGGTAAAGTGTTGTGGCATCACAGCTCACAGCAACCTTCAACTCCTGGGCTTAAGCGATTCTCTTGCCTCTTTTTTTTTTTTTTTTAATTATTTACTCATTTAACTTCTGCTGTTGTTGTTGCAGTTTTTGGCCGGGGTTGGGTTTGAACCCGCCACCCTCCGGTGTATGGGGCCAGAGCCCTACTCCTTGAGCCACAGGCGCCTTCCCCATTGTACCTTTTTAAAGAGGACCAAATATGACAGCCTGCACTTGAAAGATTTATTTATGGGCAACAAAGTGAATGTCTTTTTCTTGACATCTTGGTGTTAGTTGACTATGGGGATCAATATACAGCTCATCAACTTGGCAATAGGAAAGAAAAAAACAGCCCTGATTAGACCACATGCAATATCAAAGGCTGGAGAAATAACTGACATAATAAAGCTGGGTTTACTATAACCAAACTCAAAATGATGATGATTTCAAGGAAAGAAGCAACGGATTTTCCTGTAGACCAACAATCAAGGCCCTTTTATAATGAGCTAATCCAGTTCATTACAAGTGGTCCTATTATTGCCATAGAAATTTTAAAAGATGATGCTATCTGTGAATGGGAAAGACTACTTGGACCTGCATACTCTGGGGTGGCACACACAGATGCTTCTGAAAACATTAGAGCCCTCTGGAACAGATGGCGTGAGAAATGCAGCTTTTTGCTTCTGCTGCCAAAGAAATAGAGTTCTTTTTTCCTTCAGGTGGAGGTTGTGGGTCAGCAAATACCGCTAAATTTACCAACTGTACTTGCTGCATTGTTAAGTACCACGCTGTCAGTGAAGGATTATTAGGGAAGATCCTGGTGGCTATCTGA